TCAATATCGGTTGGCTTTCTGTGAACAAAGGATTTATAGCATTTCTCTCATGAGAACAACCGAGAACGGAAGGAATCTTGCCTATTAATATTTGACAATTATCTGTACAAGCACTTCATTATAATTTCAAAACACAAGGTAATAGAAGACCACTTCTGGCGTCACTATGCAAACTCAGCCTAAAATTCTGCTGTATCAGTGCAACCGCTAAAGTAAAATGTGAAGCATGTCATGTTTCTAAAAATAAAAAGCAGCTCTCGGATTCTATGGTTGCCTATATTTTAAGCGCCTAATTTCGAACAATAAGGCCCGTTAAAAAATTTTGTTATATTACTAAGACATCTTCGCCAAGCTGAACAAGCAGAGCAGTAGCAGCAGCATTAACAAAAACAAAAGCGGGTGATGTCACAATTCTTATCAGAATAACCACTTCAAAACAAAACTAAATATCACTTCATAGAGATGGTAGCGCTCTATCGTCTGCTTGACTATTGTCTCCCACACACAATTATTTAGGTTAGTTTTCATCGGAAGAGATGTCCCACAAGTGATGATATTTTTCTACGAGAGAAAAGAAAAATTCAAGGTTAATTTTTGCCATCACGGTGCACGCAAGTCCGGAGCGTAATTTGGAACAGCCGCTGCCACCAGGTTCTGCAGGCACTGCAGGAGAGAGGGCTACAATGTGGCCAGAGACACACCCGAAATTTTGCTACATGCCCGCTGCATGGGGATCGATTGACCGGTCAGAGAAACGATCCCCGCCTCCCCCGGGGAGCCACGAGGAGGTCGCATCGACACACTAACCTATGACGTCGTTGTCACGTAATGCCCCATCCTCGCCTCTCCTCCGAGAATTTCTTCCTTATGTGAATCGCGCTTAAGGGGGGACACGGGTTTTAGAAGACCGAAAATCGAAAAAAAAATTGCCTTTTTGAAGCTGACATTTTCGAAATCTGTACCTATTTATGCACTTACCTGAGAAGTTTCTAGCTTCTCGCGTCATTATTTCTGGCTAAAAATCAATTTATAACACCCCTGAGAAATGAATGTGAGTGCAAATAGACGCTAAATTCGCGCTCTTTCTGCGTCGAACCGTTGCCTGTACACACAAGCAATCGAGGTCAACTTGGTCTCGTTTGGAAAAGTCGTTCTTCGTCTTCAATTTCCTGCCACCGCTGGTTCGCCTTTCTCATTGGTTTTCAAGCAAAAAAATTGCCCGCAGCTTCCCTCGGGGGAAAACTGAGGAGGATGCGGAGCATATAATTGGTTAACGGGGTGTTAAAGTGCGACTTACTTGGGTCGATGGCTAAATTGGTTAACGTGGTTGTGAAATGGGGTGTTAAATTGCGACTTACTTGGGTCGATGGCTAAATTGGTTAACGTGGTTGTAGGAGGGGGTGTTAAATGAGTGAACACGTACACACGTATGCGAAAGGGCGGCGCTGGTCGAAGGGACGTCGATCATTGTGTTTGTGGATTCGTTGGAATTCATTTCACCGCGACCTTAGACGTCGACGCGCCGTACAAACCAACCGACGAGCGGCAACTGAGCGAGCGAGCGCCGACCTTGAGTATATATACAGCGCGACGGCGCATGCACTGTCAGCTGTCGAATGTTCGAGAAGGGGGAGAAGCGCAACGGCGCATGCGCGCGCGTCAGCTGCCGATGTTCTCGAAGCGCGACGGCGCATGCGCGCGCGTCAGCTGCCGATGTTCTCGAAGCGTGACGGCGCATGCGCGCTACATTATACAGCTAGCGAATGTTCGTGAAAAGGAGAAGCGCACGCGGTGTGTAGAGGAGGAAGGGTGCACAGATGGTGGAGGAGTGAAGCGCGCGCGGTGTGTAGAGGAGGAAGGGATGCACAGATGGTGGAAGAAGGAGAAGGAAGCTTGCGGACGGCGCCGCACTACAAGCCTCAAGTATTAGATGCTCCGCATCTAAAACGCATCATCGAGAAGCACAAGCGCGCGATTCTATTAGCTGCTTGGGGCACGTGACAAAACCTAGCCATCCAATTGGCCAAGTGGTGTTTCCGGCGTCTGCTTCACCATCCTGACGTGCACAGACATGTGCCATTTTGTTCTGGTGCTGTCAACTGCCTGCTGCAGTAAAGAAGTTCTGCCCAACACTGATTCGTGAAGCGGGTGTGGCGATCGTTCGTTCGCCATGAACTTCAGAAAGAGCCCCGCTATGGCTCAGGACAACGAGGATAACGAACTCGCGGCGGTCAACGCTGGTCACCTAGTCAGCAGTGTAGGCCTAGCTCACGTACGAGCCCGTCAGTTGCAGGCAACGGCACTGAAAGCGGCCATGTTTTGCAGCCTCATCAGTTAGAGGACGGCAAGTAAAAAGCAGAAACAAAGCTACGAGAGATATCAATCTTTGCTGCGAGGCAAAAGAAGCGCAGTCTTATTGCTAAACTCGTTGATGCCGCGGTCCCTTGCGTCTGACGAAACGACCTCGCTTATGCGTGAACTGCGTAACGGGTTGTCAGAGTGGAGTACGCCATGTGTAGACGAACAACAGAAAATGAATGTGTTCACGGTGAATGTGCTTGCCGCCCGCGAAACGGAGGCTACTGGCAACAGGTAGACTGCTTTTAATGACGTGTTCGCAACAATGTCGCGGTGTCGACTCGAAAATGCGAGCGAGTCTTACGTGAAAAGAAAACAAACACGATCGCACTCATGTAGCCCCGAAATTATGAGCGAGTGCACAAATTCTGTTCACGACATTTACGTGTAATTCATTCTGGACAAGAAGGAAAACATCGCCGTGTAATTCGGCGGATCGTGGATGACGCGTGCGCATTCGTCGCACATCGGCGTCAGTACAGTCACCGAACATGGAACCGGCCTTGTAGGCAGACGAGCACACGGTGACAACTTGCAGCAGGACTTGAAGAAATGACACGCTCAAGCAAACAATCAGTGCAATTACATGCCCAGTGCATGTTAACGGACTAAAAGTATGTGTGCCATGATTTTTTTGTTTGAAAACAGCGAAATAAATTTTTAGCAGTATTTTTCTTGAAACACAGATCGACTTTCCCGAAACACTTTCTTTGCTAGATTGTTCTGTAAAAGTGAACCTAGGACAGCTAGAACTGTAATTATTTTTGCACAATGTAGCTACATGTGCACGAAAAACAACATTGGCCATTCATTATTATTGTGCAGCTCTAATTATTTTTTATTTTAATATAAAATATTTTATTCTTGGTTCCATGCAATGAACTTTTTTGTGCTATAATTCGAGAAGTACTTGTTTAATTTTTAATCAGCTTGCAGCGTTGCACTCCTTAGGCTTTTTAGTATTCATATATATATTAATGACTATGTAATTTTAAGTACATACATTTTTACAGTTAAAAATTTTAGGATACTTTGTTTTCTTCATTTTCTCAAAGTGGTAATTTCGTACACCCTGCATGACAATTCCTGCAATATATCAGAAAATATTACAGATAGCAGAATAATTATTTTTGCCACATGAAGCTGTATGTTTTAGAGCACAAAACATAGAAAGGAGATTTCAATTTCTCTAGATGCAAGTTTTTAAATTAGTCTATTGTGTGACCACACCATGGACCACATTCAGAGCTATGAAGTTTAGTGTACTGTAATGCAAGAAATAATTACCCAATCAATAAAGTGCTTCCTATGTTGTATGCCTTATGCTTTCTACTATTCATCCCTATGATATCTGTTAACTTTTGACTTGTGGTTATTTTTCTATAAGGACAATAGATTGTTATCTTGATTATTTAATGAACCAATAAACATGCAGAAAACATAACTACATCTTCAGAATCAGGAGAACAAACTAAGTAAGCATGCCAACTCTCATCATATTTGATAAAAAAAAATAGATGAGATATCCCATAGACCCATGTCCCCCTTAATAAGACACCAATTAATTCGATCTTAGCATAGGGCCTTGGCTGGTACTCATAATCTCTTAGGGTTTCTATATGAAAGTTAACCTTTGTTACACAATTACTACTTAACCCAGTCGCATACAAGAGCATGACACTCAAGTATTCCTAAGTGGCAGGGGGCATGCTGTACTTCAGCAACGATAACGAAGCGTGTGGGGGTAAAGTGCTTGCCCTAAGGCGCGCACACATTGTATATTGTGCAGTCGGTGGTGTAGTCAGCTTAGTTGCCACTGGGCGAGAGTAGGCACTGTGCTTCCTCAGTGATGCCATAACAACAACAAGGTTAAGCAGGGCCATAAAAAGCAAAGCTATAGCTCTTTTAAGGCTTGGCACGCTCATGAACGGCTGTATTTGAGTTTAATTGGGACGATTCCATGGCTTGGCTCCCATTATAATTCGCTTAATCTATAAAGAATGTTATAGTGAACATCGCTTATAACGAGATTAGACTGTATCAAGTACCAGAGCTTACTATGTACTCAATGGCATGTTTCTGAGGAATTCTCGACATCTGTGTTCAGTTTTCTATCAACAACCTCAGCTGCCACAGTGGCTTAATCATGATCGTGGACAACAGTCAGAGATGTGCAACCGGGCATCAACAAGGGAGCGTCCATGTCAAAGGGTGATAATACCTACTGAACACCAATAGACATTGTACGAGGTCTTACACATCAATACACAATAACCAACTGAGTACTTCTGTGAAGCGGCATTCTGCTTTCCTGTTGTATCATTTCCTACCTATTACAGAGGGATAAGCCATGTTTTTTTTTGTTACCTCTAGCTTAATTTGATCAATTTAGTTAGTCTCAGTTGGCTTGAAGGGAAGTTGACTGCTGTACTAAATATCCACAATGTGACTCTATTGGCCCATGCTTCAAGGAGCACACAGAAAATGTTACATAAAGAAAGCTACACTACAGATATTTTGAAGTATACTATCGACAACACGTAAAAATAGCAGAACCTATTTCAAATTATGATAAAGTAGTTATGCGGGGCACAGTAAGCATACACTAGTCACTATACATGGTGCTCTGAAGGTAAAAGCAGGCACACTTACTATTCACAACACAGGATGCCTTCTCCATGATCATATTGTGCTGCCTTTGTTCCTGCAGACAATCTTCATGTTCCCTTTGTGAGAAAGAAGATAGTCATTTCCATAATCAGATTCATCAGAGCTGGACTAGGGGTACTGAGGTAGGGGTTTTAGCGAAAAAGAAAGGGTTCATACAGAATGGGCGTTCAAGAGTTAGCAGGCCATTCTACCAAACTACCTACTTCCCCATAGTGCTTGACAATCTTAGGGAAAGCAGCAACTTCAAAATGGCAATGCAGATCACATTCTAAAGAGCCAGTTTATCATTATAATCAAGCTAATTTACCCACTAAAACGGACCTTATCACACCTAATGTCCACCAGCTGCCAAGGATTGTCCCTATCGCTGCAAAAAAAGTTCAATTCGTTTTTAAAGTTAATTGCAAAGTTTAGCGATGCAATCGTGGAATGCAGAACTGATCTATAGTTTTTCACTTCATCTGTAAATCATAGTAATAAAACAGAAAGAAGCAAAAATGAAGAAAAAAACTAACAAAATTTAAGGAATCATCTGATCGTATCCCAACAACACAAAATCAATGCGATTGCCTTTTAAGAAATTGCATCATTACATAGAAGTTAACTGATATAGTATGTAAACATTTGTAATGTATTGACCTAGACATCCCGGCCGCGGTGGTCTGGTGGTTAACGTACTCTGCTGCTGACCAGCAGGTCGCGTGATCGAATCCCGGCTGCGGCAGTTCATCGAAATGTTGTAGGCCGTGTGCTCGTATTTGGGCGCACGTAAAAGAACCCCTAATGGTCGAAATTTTTGGAGCCCTCTGCTAGGGCGTCTCTCATAATCATATGGTTGTTTTGGGACATCAAACCCCACATATCATCAATCATTGACCAAGACAAATCTTTCATGATTTCGCAGAACAATTCGTACAATTCATAGCCTTTTTTGCCTATGATATTCAGTAAGGAGCTGAGATCTGTTGACAGCAACATGATAACGTACTGTTTGCTTGCTTGATATACACCAAAATTAAAATAGTGTCATGTGACTGTATGAAAAACAGACATGACAGGTCCTGACCTGTAAACCATGGCATACATGTTTTGTACAGCATGATCTACATGCCACATTAATGGTGCGCATCCAGCCACTTTGTTAACTGGATATACAGTAGACTCTCAGTGAACGGAAATCTGTTAAACGTAACTACTGCTTAAACAAAGACATTGCCTCTGCAATGCTTGGCTTTGGGCTTGTATTCTGCACTCATGTTCACCTCTCAGTAAACGGAACTCCTGTTAAATGGAACACATTTTCCCGGTCCCTTCATGTTCTGTTTACTGAGAGTCTACTGTATACCGTTATACCATTATTGGTATGGCTTGAAAAAAGTGAGTGATGAACGTAAATCACAGGAAGCGGCATGTAAAACAAATCGTCCACCGTGGTAATGTGACTATCGAAATTATCATAAGCAACACTGCATTACAAAATGAGGTTAAATGAAGACAAAGTTATATGCAGAAGGTTCAATTAATCCAAATCTCTACAGCAACTAGCTTCTCGCTTAACCCCTAGTTGACACAAAAAAAAAGTAGTGCCACGCACAATGTGTACATAGCGCGCGAAAGGGTCAAGTCTAATAATGAATAACATTATGAAATGTAATGCTATTTCCTTGCTGCATGTCTTAGCATATAAAGGCCTAGAGTGCGTTTCTCTTGTTTGTCAATACATTCAAGAGACAAATAAGGGAGTGGCTATTTTACCTGTAACCACGTACTACTGTCTTCGGTCTGTACTTCAGCAACCTGCAAAAACAAGTTTTAAGATAGAAGACTGAACTTCATGCAGTGCATAGTCTACGCTTCTGTCACACTATACCATAGTAGGCAACGAAAATTTAGTCCCCGATTACGAGTATTTCCTCTCTCTTCCATGCTATCCGAGAGAAAGAGGATGAACAAAAGCACCTACAATTTCAGTTTATTCATACACGACAAAGCATGTTTACAAGGACTAGCACTGACACACAGAGAGAAGTGAACCATTATCGCATTTGATTGCACTTACAGGGGTGCTGCACTCAAATTTTCCCTTCAAGGCGTTTCTTGTACCGCCCTCAAGTAGATGCAAAAATAATTTTAAAGATTGATTTGGGCAGCCATAGCTATTCAACATACAAGTTCATAATAAATACAAACAGCAGAAATTGGAGTAGCCTTTTGCATTTCACTCATCCAGTGACTTGTTAAGCTGGTTCCAATCAAAATGCAGCTTACATCTTGTGCTACCATAAGCTTTTACACACTGTGGCCACCCTTACCATGAGCCGTTGCAACAGTTTTTGACATCATTGTCACCATGTAGCGAGTTACGTGGATGGCTGAAAACTCCAGCCGCTGAGGTGCTGTCATCCTCGGACTCTAAGCTCGTCCACACTCAATTCAGTTGCGGTTGCAAGACAGTTTCGAGCGGCATGTGTATTTTGCAGTGCGATGCTCACCCATGTGCGTGTGACGCCACCATAGGAGCGACTGGTGATACTAGATGCAGCGCTGTGACACAAGCGATACCAGAGATGCTGGAAACTGGCTGAGACGGCCACTCCCACACTTTATACATACGAAGGACCTTCGGAAATATTTTTGTGGAATAAATTTTTCCTACTCCCAACAACACCTCTCTATTGAATAGCTGGCATCAATTTCTGGCAATTATCACTGCTCAGAACTATGAGATTGTAAAGCTGACACTTTAATTTGATATTTGACTTGCAAAAGTTCTTTTGATAACAGATCTTCGATATTAAGCATAACAACGAGGGGCACACACTTCTTTCAAGTTCGCCAGCCAAATGCATTTTCTCAACAACACAAGCACATTGGTTCGTGCAAGGGTCTGTCAAAAATAACCATGTTGTCAAAAGGGCAAAATTAAATTGATTCTTAAAGTGGCTAAACCAACTACAGAAAGAGCTTGGCGCACAAGGCATAAATTCAACATGCTTAAATCGACGAGAAATGCGGATTGCGGGTGTTCAATTTGAATAGGCGTAATAACGAAAGATTTAGTGGTTAAAATTTGTAAGGCACACACTTGACTGAGACACAAAGAGAACGAAACGAGCACTAGAGTAGAACTCTTTATTTTTGAAAATGACTGCACATAAAAGCATTATGAATTAGAAAAGAGCACGTGCAAGACAAGTCCTGCGGCATGCATGCGAGTTACGAAGAATTAAGCAAATTTCATAAAGGCGAATTTTTTGTTGGTGAGCGGCACCAATGGCTAACTGATAAATTTGTTGGCACAAATTTTGATTAGAGCTGTGCGAGTATCGAAACTTTCAGAATGAAGCAAATTTGTATATTGAGGTTAGGTGCAAATCAAATCGAATATTTTTTTAATGTTTCTCGAATATTTTGGAATAGTTCGAAGCGAAATCGCAGGGAAAAAAAAAAGAGGAGGATTCTCAGCATATTCTTACGAGATAGATCAACATGAAAGTGTCTCTTTTCGCTAGTTTAATGAAGTGATGGCAGCGTGGCACTCCATAGTTCTCCTGTCAAGAATGAGGTAATCTAGAGGCTAACATGTATTAGTTCATGCTTTGGTGCAACCGAGGTGTTGCCAACAACACATCACCCGCGAAAGGACATAGATGCTATTTCCTCAGCCTCTCCTCCTCATTCAACGTCTATGGAAGCCCAACTGATGTCACATACAAGGCTGTGCTCTTTTCACATTAAAAGTTCCAAATTTAACTCGTAGGCGTCAACACAAAAGAACTTCATTAGAAATTTGGATGCTAAAAAATCTTCAGCGTACGGTTTTTTCAGAGTTCCCACCCAAATTTCAGGTCCAAAACAGCACTAATTCAGCCCCATGTGCCGTCACATTAATCGAAATTGTTGGAACCAGTGTTTCCTCTAGCCAATAGACTTGCGACAATAACAGAGCCTAAAATGCAGCTTTGCCGCAGTACAGCTGTGATGCAGTGAAGCATACTGAAAATCTGAAGGGATCACTTTTAATTTGATGTTGACTGTGTTTTGTCTTGAAAGAATTTGACCGCAGCAGAGCCTAAAGGCAGCTTTGCAACAGTATAAGATTGTGATGAGATGAAGCACATTGAAAGTCTAAAGGGGTAACTTTTAATTGGACATTAACAGCATTTGTCTTTGGGCAGTTCGAATCTTTCGAGTTGTAAAAATTTCAGTGCGAATCGAATCGAATAGCCATACTACCTGAAAAATATTCTAAATATCTATATCTCGCACTCCCTGAATTTTTGTATAAAACAATAAAAAGATATGTTATTGCAATCAGTTTTTTTTTCCTGATACAGATATTTCGTTTTCTGATAAACTAACACATGAAGTTATGGGAGCTTTTCTCATAAAAATGTGTGCCAACAAATTTGCCAACAAATTTATCAGCAAACTTTTGGTGGTACTCCCTATAGACAAGTGGCCTTCTTGAATTTTGCTTAATTCTTTGTAATCTGCATGCAAGCCACATGACCTGCTGTGCTCACACTCTATGCTGATTTACGAATCTTACACGTTGTCATCTTCAAAAATAAACAGCTTGCGAGTTACATACCTGCCAACTTGGCGACACAGAAAGAAGTAAAACCTTTGGATGAGAGGGGGGGTCGAGCGGTATACCTTTAACAACAAACTTGATCCTGTTTTTTGCAGCAAGTAATTAAAGCAACAACTTAAGCCCAGTGACCTGTGACTGTGCAAAAAGCTTGCCAATCTTAGCTGGCACGTATCCTTGGTGCTAATGCCTCACCTGGCTGAATACTTAAGACGAAGCCGAAGCTTTGTTTTCCTGCTCGGGGTTGCGGCTCTTCCAATTTCGTGCATGGAAACCTACTGTGTTGGAATGGTAGTGAAGTATTACAGCATTTTACAATAAGTGCGCAAACTTCCATCAAGTCATTATGCTAATCAAGCTTTTCTTCTTTAGAACATACAGAAAAGCAAACGGTGAACTAAAAGCCGAGAGTTGTGATTCCGAAAAAGCCGTAATGTTAAAACATCCTCTGACCTTCAGGCATTTCATTGGATGGCACCTCCGAAGACATCTGTGAACAGAAACAAAAAACAAACAAACTGAAAACTCATCACCACAGGCTGGAGTGTCTCGCTAAGTGATGTTATATAAGGAGGGGGCATGGACACATTACCTTTGCAGCATCTTCAGTCTGTGCAAAACAATCAACCTGGAAGAAATTGTGCTTGTTACAGAGACCATTTGACTAAGGCAAACAGCTACAGGTATAACCACAAAAAAAATGATCCGCAGATGTTTCTCCGTGTGACATACGTCACAATAACACAGTTCAGTGCGGCATGCTTTCTGTCGGACTGGTTTTAGGTGTGAAGTGACCCGCAAGCGGGACATTGGGTGTACTCTCCAAGTGCATCGTGACCCACCAGTGGCACACCTGGCTATGCCTTCCATCTTTTGCTCCAACGAGATGCCGTTCCCATCTTCTGAGCAAGCATTTCGCACATTTATTTGAAAGATGCAAGGCTGATTGCAGGCTTCCTCGCATGAATCTATGTTTAAATACAAAATGCTTCATACGAGAAAACAGATGAGGTCAGTTACCTGTGCCTAGAAATGTTTACTAGGTACATAAAGTTAACATTTGGTACGAATATTAAGCAGCGAGATGGCACTGTAACCATTGCAAGCGGGTGTCAGGCACGTTTATTGTTTCACTTTAGTGTTGTTTCAAAGCGAGTGAAATTGCACAGGCAAGTTCTCAAACTTTTTTTACAAACCATGGTTTAGTGTCCCAGCCCAAGGTTTCAATTAAATCAAAATTAAATGCTGGGGTTCTTCATGCTGAAACCACAATGTTTAATAATGAGGCCAGCTGTAGTGGAGGGAGGCCATCGGTTTAGTTTGGACCAACTCTCGTTTATTTAAAAGAGTACGGAGAAAACTTTTGCATGCTATTTCTTCTGTTGAAAAAACTAGCTAACGACTCACATGTGACTGGAAACCTCACTTGCTTTAGCGCAAGACAGTTATTTTGAGATGTTTCTTTGGCAGCCAGCCACTGTTTTGGTTTCAGGCAGCACCAAGAGAGGCAGGACCAGGTTGCTATTTTTTTTTGCAGGCACAGCTGGACAAGTGATTGCATTAGACAGTGATGTGCACTATGCATAGAAACGTGTGCACACAAGCGCTGTGTTGACAAACGAGGCAGAGAGTAGACGCAGAAAGTACGGCAGCCAACAGAAACTTGTAATGTGGGTGTTTATGCCTAAAACAAGTTGATGTTGCTGTAGCGAGACACTTCGCTCAGTGCCCAGTTCCATGACATACACTATAAAATTCTAGAAACCACAGACTCGGTAATCGGAAATTTCTCAAAAAAAGCACTGGCAGAAAAATTTAGCACCTTTGTGTCTGCTGCAACAGGTAGCTTACAACCCACTTATAACACCTGGAAACCACATTTGCACGAGTGTGCAACTGTTATTTATTCATAGGCGTTTTTAGAGAGCCCAGTCTCGGTTTCGGTTTCGAAGAGCACCGATCTAGGCAAGAGCAGTTCCTGGGGAAAGGTAAACACTGCCGGCCATGCGACGTGGGTGCTGTGCGCAAGCGAGCCCCACACTGACAGTCAGCACAGCCGGCACACACGAAAACACAGGCATGGAGGAGGAAACCGCAGAGTGCAAGAGCAAGACGTGTGCCAGCAACCAGCCAACACAAACTTGTGACGTAGGTTTGTTTACATTGCCCCTGCATTGATGTTGGTGTCGAGAGGGGCTCCGTATTACGCTCAGTCCCACAGCGTACACACTAAAATTGATTTTAAATACGTTCTACGCTATACTTTCCCTTAATACCCCCATAGATCTTGTGTATGTCTCCACATACATTTACCTTGCTTATTATTTCACCTCCGAAACTTTATGTCAATCATCTTTTAAACAGAACAACTGCCTCTAATACAATTATTCTGTGCTTGAATTCTGCATATCTGTTCATCGCCCAGCAAATGCAACTCCAGTTAAATGAAACATACTTTCTTGGTTCCTTCAGGTTCCATTTAACGATAGTTTACTATACGTTCTAGGCTACATTTGCCATTGATATATTGTAGATCATGTACTATCAGCGTGAACAGCGGCAAGCCTTCCCAATGGCATAGTGCGTGTCGTCCACTTATCACTGTGCACAGGTGCGTGCATCCTGTTCGGCAGCTCTACGCATGAATGCATGCCTGTCCATGGTGATAAGCAGACGGCACGCAGTATGCCATCGCGAAGGCTTACCGCTGTTTGGGTTTCATTTGACGATGATAGCACATGTCTACACAAATCTATCTCACTAGTAATTCTTCCTTCAGGATTCTGTATCATACTATAAGCCAGCAAACTCAGTCACGAGTCAACTCATTAAGACTTACTGAGACTCAGATCGATGCACGAGTCTAAGTGAATGTGAGTGAATAATAGTTCGCTGAGTCTGCGTATGAGTTGGTCAAGTTGAGGAAAATTTTTTGCGAGTCTGGGTCCAAGTGAGTCATAACCACATGATCTATTTCTTGAGTGACTCTAAGTAAGCTCTACATTTTATGCCGACGTACCTGGACCTATCTACTCAACTTCGGCAATAATATCAGCTTTATGTTGGATGACATTTACACTACCGTCCACTCACGCAAACCTAAACCCACCAGCGGTCCTACGCACACTCAATATTTATTGAGAAAGGGTGCAGGTAATGAATGGGGCAAACTAATTCATGGGAAATTGATAAAACTACATCTTTTCACACATCTCTTAAAATAAAATTTTCTTACAGGACCCCAACCACTGACAACTTGGATTTGAGAATTGAGATCAACAAGAACCGAGTAGAGCACCGAATGTGCAAGATATTTTAAGGAGCATTGCCACAACGCTCCAAAAAGCTAAGTAAACGCTAACTGACTGATGAGTCGACTCACTCAGGCTCAGTTCGAGCCATAAGTCGAAGCGAGTTTGCGTGGGCTACTGTTTGGCGAGTTTGAGTCCGAGAAAGTCTGGTTGGGAAACATTTTAGTAAGTCTGAGTCCGAATAAAAAATAGTGCGGCGAGTCTTTAAGTTCGACATATATTTTGTAAATAAGTGGGAAAGAGTGCCACAATAATTGCTGACCTATGATCAGTGCTCCTTTAGTGAGCATGTACATAACTCAAAGTACGTAGCTATCTTTGCATTTCACCCTCATTGAAATATGGCAGGAATCGAAACCCACATCATCATGCTTAGCAGGGCAACAGCTAAGCTATTGAACTACAGTATCGGGTGTCGTCTGAACGAAACGAAGCTGCAGTTCTCGCTGCACTCTGTCTAGTCTTTGTGATGGCTTGCACAAACTCAGCATTGCTACACTACAGCATCAACCTTCACTATCACTGATAAGTGCGGCAAGTCGGGCCAGGTTGGAAAATAGGCATAACTTTCCATTTGCAAGTTTCACCCCCACAACAGCATACACACATTTAGCGCACTTCAATGTCCAGATTATTATAGCAACATGAGAAACAAACAGTACGAATCACTGGTTGAGGCATGGAAACAAAGGTTGCTGTGTAATTTTCATTACACACATGCAAGAAGATACGACAATCACTTCTGTTATGTTTCCAGCTTAGCTTCGATTTCAAGTTGCATTGTGTTCTATTTTACGTTCAATTTTACATTCAAGACTACCTCAACACCCTAAATTTAACACACACACACTTAAAAAAACATTTTAATATGTCACCTTTCCTGTGCCATCTGTCTGCAAGCAGCAGTCAACCTGTAACAAAGACATTTACTGGATAAGTTTATTAGTTTTTTCCACTACAGATTTGCAATTGCACTGCTATTTATTGAAGTTAGACTTCCGAAGCAAATGCTCTCCACAAATTATAATAAGAAAAAAAAACAAGATCAGTAAGTGAAAAAATAATACGGTGAACATACATAGCATGTTAACACAAAAAGGTTCATTTTGAATTATTCTGTACAAACAAGGCTAATTGATAAACGAAACTTAATAAACGCCAGGCATGCGTGAAAGGCGCAGCACAGTCACAGCAAGAGCTAAAAGAGCGACCTTTTAGAGCCTTTTCTTAGCACTCATTGGGTAACTGCTGCAAGCAGACTTGCTGGGCACCCACTACAGCATTAATAATCATAATATCTGAGTAGTAGGCCGGCAGACGCTATGCTATCCTTCATTTTTCTGAGAAGCGTGGTATCTGCTAAACACTTGCGAGGAATTCGGCGCTAATTGTTCATGCAGTGGCTGACGACGATGAGGAATTACGCCTGAAGCGGGTATGTGCCACAGTTAATAGGTGATCAAGAACAAGCTTTTGTAATGGGTTGGAGTATTCGACGACCCACTCATTACACCATTTGCCATGTGTGACGCCTGGTTGTTCACTTGCTGATGTAACACGCTTTATTACTCATATTAACGCGATTCCTGTCCCGACATGAAGCCTGCCTAAGACAACTTTGCAAACAAGTCCAAAACACCGGCACGGCTCAGCGGTAGAATACTGGGCTGGCAAACAGTGGACCCAGGTTGGAGCCCCACTGTGTCCTTGGTGTTTTTTATTTACTGAGTTTTTTTTTTTCCCATACTGGTTACGAACACCGGCGGCGGCCGACAACTACGACACCACGCCTGACCCGTGTTCTGATCTCACAGCAGTTTTCGCTGTAAAATCAATAATGGTAATATTTCTTTTAGTTTACAACTATGCATGCAGTATCAGAAGACCAATGATGTAATTTTTTTCTGGCATTTAGCCAAAGCACAGTAGACTGTGAAACATTGCTGCAGAAAGTCAGTGCCGGAACTTCTCAGCACAACAGCCGTCCCATTTTCCTTTATTTGTTGTTGTTTTTTACCTAGGGCCTAGATCGCATCAAAGCCATTATACTGCGAATATGAGCGCTGCAATGAAAAGCGCACTCCTCTTGTTTAAAAATGTCAATGGTGCAATGATGCACAGATTTAGACATGGCTTCACGCACTATTTAGGTAATGGTGCGATGCACGGACACATTTCTGGCAGCTGGTTGTCATAAGAAGCAAGAATGGTTTACCATATTTTCTTTAGCCAATAAAATATGCTTTTTTGCAACACTTATGGGTACACACCAGAATGAATGAACCTCACCTTGCTTTCTTTAGCGTTCCTTTCAGAGTTTAGTCTTCTGGCAGGTCTCTGCAGGCACTGTGGATCTTCATAGTCACTACTGCAACATATAAGCGAAACACGGCCACACTGGTGTGCATTTACGCTAGCTCTACACGGCATATTCATAAACAGGCAAATTGTCAACCACAGCAGTCAAGCACAGAATATGCGAAGGGATACTGAATAAAAGTAGGTAAAACTGAAATAAACATCAAAATTCCGCTTGGAGGCGCAACTGTTCGAGAAACAAGAGTTTATCTCACATTGAAACAGCTGGCGGTACTTAAATTGTTGGTGTGCAGCGGCTGCACACTGGCAAGAGCAGTGCTGCGCACTGACGGCCACGTCAAATGTTAAAACTCTCCCTGCCACAGACGCGACGAGACATGCCCCACCACCATTTAGGAGCTTTACCACGCCTGGGGCATATAGTTGACTGCCAGTGCGAATTATAGCGTGCCCCATTTGAACAGATGTTAAGTAACCAAACATTAGCTTCTCCAATTCAAAGTGGGGCCATAAGATGCATCAGTTTGTGAAAAAAAGTGTGAAGTTCATTATATTCTACGAATTTCTGCCTGGAATGAATGTTGCATCTACAAATTTCAGCATCCAGGTTTTCAATATGACTGAAAATATCGGTGACAAAAATTTTGTTCAGTACCCCTCCAAGAATTTTTTGAATACTGCACCCAGTGTAATCACCTGTTTGGCTCCAGCCTCCTCTGAAAGCAGCATCAAAAGTAAATCCCAAAGTTAATTTTCCAGACTTTTACAGCGTCAGACTAAGTTTCCAAAGGGCAAACTTGGGCAAGCAAACATGGAAAATGCTACAAAAGAGCATATTATCGTGAATCACAATATATTTAGGGAATGCAAGCAGTTAATTTCTATGTGCGATGTGAGTTGGACAATTAAGAAATTAAAAAAATATATATGAAATTCTGTAGTTTCTACAGGTCGTAACCAGGCTGACTACAAGCATACGACATGATAGATAGAAACCACTAGATTAACTTTGACTATCTGGAGTTATATAAAGTGCGAATGAACCTGAATTTACTGCTTTTTATACATTCTGCTACCTTGAAATGCTGTTACCATGTGGTGGAATCAAACAGATGCCAATGTACTTCTCAGTGCATGGCGATAGCAGCATAGCCACCACAAAGGGTCACATGCACAGTGAGAATTGCACCAAGTAATCAGTATAAACATTTTACGATTTAATACATTTTGATAGAATCTCCAAGACACCTAAGGTAGTAGATAACAAATGCACAACCTCTGTGGGACATAATAGCAAAGTCGTTCATATCTTAGCTGGTTGAAACCTCAATCAGTCTCAACACACAGGCGCGCATGTGTTGCATATTTCATTCGACTGCTGTTCCTTGCTTGTCAAGAAGCTTTATAGTGCATCGGTGACGCGCAAACTTTTCTTCAGCTGATCTCACTGGTTGCAGCCACCACAACATGCACCCTTCTATTTAACTTGGTTTTCGTTTAGATTTCATCATCGTTATCAGTGCTCTCAGCCTAATTTATATCTACTGCAGAACAAAGGTTTCTCTCAAAGATTACTATTAACCCTACCTTGAGCTACCCGATACCATTTTATACCCGGTGAACTTCTTCCTGTAGTCACTACATTAACCCGCTGCCATCCTTGATGTCTTCCCTTTGATATCCAGTTTGATAGCTCAACTAGTACAGCAGTTGCCTGTCCTGCCCAATACAAGGCTGGCCCAGCTTTATCTTTATTTGGGTACATTCGAATGGTTATTTTTAGGCAACATTGTGATGTGTGCTACTGTGTCGCTCTTCAAAATTAAGAGCTCCGAATATGTTTGGCTGGTTTTTTCAGAGCACCAAGCTCTAACTCTGACCGCTCTGAAACACTTTCTCTCCAACCTCGGAGTGTAACCGAGATCTGATGATGCGGGAAGTACACGTCACCGGTTTGCAACAGAACAGGCAGTAACGTGCAGGTTCTTCCAGACTCCGATTGCCTTAGCAAGCCCCTGCAGTTTTGGCTCGGACACATCCTCTGGCTCGGATCAAGAGCAGGCTCTACATTGCAGCAACCTGAGCACGGTGGCCTATAGTCGAACACGCCATCATTAAGAACTGGAATATCAGCCATGTGCGTGCTTATTTAACCAACTTGACTCCCTCCGGATCTTTCATTTTGATGGAGGAGAAGTGCTATGGGCCCATGTCTCGTGCGATTTCAGGGCATGTTGAAGAAGCACCAGGTGGTCTAAATTTCTGGAATCCTCCACAACGTAGTCTCTCGTAATCATACTGTGGTTTTGGGATGAAAAAGCCTTGATGTTATGATCTCTTCCAACCTTTTAGTGTTATGCCTACTATCTGCCATTCTGTTGTGCCCTCTGTAGTCCTCGAAAGAACCGGCCACAAATTTCTACAGTATCTGTACTCTTTAGTGCAATGGAAAGCATACTGACCAGGGTGTCTAATTATGAAGTGGTAACAGGGTAAAGGCCCTGAATGATTTATCAAAATTTTTGGTTATGCGAGTCAGACACAGCATACTCGTTAAACAGTGGGTGGTGAGCACACCAGCCATTTTTGTTAGTGTGCTGCAGTTTACTGCACATGCGTGCACTCGGCTGTACGCACTGCAACTTGCACGTTGCATTAATTACTGCGAATGCCACACAACTTCTAAGTGTCAACTTCTTTCACCTCATAAGCAGCACAGAATAGAGTGAGGATGAGCATTTACATACACTTAGTTTTTAATGCTCATTCTGGTTTGCATGGAGGCATCTCACTATGTACAGCTAATTGAAGGACTCTACAATCCAGCTTCAAGGCTCTTCCACTAGACGATTCTTATAGTGCGAGAACAGATCAACGACAAAACAATAAGAAGACGAGTGCTTTTGTCCCTTTGTCGTTCTGTTCTCGCGCTATAAAAATCGTCATGTCATACCAACTAGCTTATATTGCCACGCTTCCACTAGGCTGCGCAACATCACATGTTTCTGTGTGTATGTGCTACTTCTAAACATTATTTAAAAATATTAATCCCACTCACATCACTAAATGGAGGCTTCAATATGTCAGTATGAATCAGTCTTTACCTTTCCACAAGAATCTAATGACACATTCTGTCCAGTTAGCAGTCCCTTGTAAAATTTTCTTGCGCTTCTTTATCCTCCAAGCTTCCACCCTTTACATAAGAACTGCCAATGTGTACTTTTTGTTTTATGGGGAGCAGTATTTATCTCTTAGGATGTGATAATGCCCACCATATGTGCTATCGCCTAAGCCCTTAAGTAGATCCCCTTTTCCCCGAGTTGGCTCTGCTTTTATTAGGTTGTTGGCTCTATAGGATGGTTTCAAATAACAGATTTTTTTTTCACCAGGCTCTCTGTCATTGCTCTAATATTTAGCCCTGCTTCTACACCTTCTACATTTATGACATTACTCATTTATTGCAATTCATTGATTCAGTTCCTGAGGAGCACTATGTCATCTGTAAATCATAGGTGGCTGAGATTCTTTCCATAATTCTTTATATATGTTTATTTCCAGTCTAGTGAATTGAATACCTCTCAGCGTTCAGTGCTGGCTTTGTAGACAGACGAGGGCAGTTCATGAGAAAAGCCTCAAACGTCAAAGTAGGCATCTAATGTCAGATTAATTTGCATCACTAGGGGTTGTTTGTGCTTATTTGAAGCGCAATATGCGGCAGTTGACGTACAACTTATCACTCAACTGAAAAATCTGCGAAACTTCAGACTGACTTGAAGGGACTGATTATGATGCTGGTTTTGAAGTGGGAGGTGTAAGTCCCTGCTGACCAGGTGTGCACCGACTGTCACATGTAGATTACAATATGGAGATTGCTAAGCAGAAAACCACAGTACAGCCACGAAGCGAACACTGGTTGGCATTGACGTAGCAGTCGGTGAGATCTTTCGGGAACCTTTTTACGAAGCACTACTGGACCAGCTTACCTGCACAGCGAGTGGTATTCACACAAACCCGCCGGATTAGCGGGATACGCGGAACTCCTGGTAAGCGGGGGAATCGCACCCATCCGCAGGTCGCTTTGGCACGAAGGGCACAGCATGAAGGAAGGCACGTCTTTGCTCGGACGCTGGGCCGTGAGCATCGGCACGTGAGACGTACGGATAGGAGACAGCTCGGCGGGACGAGAACAAACGTCGCACACGAAGTCTACTCTCTCAAGTGCAGCACGCTGCCTGAGTGCAGCTCTTTCGCGGTGACGGCGTCGGGCCTCTGCCTCTCGTTGACGTACTGCGGCGTCTTGGCGTCGCAGTCGACGCTTGGCCGCTTCGAGCTGGCGAGCTTCGGGGTCCTGGCGGCGGCGTCGTCGTGCCTGCGCTTCGCGCCACTTCGCACGTTGAGCCTCCACATCGTGCTGCACAACCGCGGCGTTCTGTCGGTGCAGCCGTCTCACTTCGGCCTCGCGCTGTCGCACTGCCTCGATTTCGCGGCGGGCGCGGTGTTTGGCCGCCTCCAGCTGCCGAACTTCGGGGTCCTCCCGTCGCCTTCGGCGCTGCAGTTCGGCGTGCTTCGCTCGAGCAATGGCGCGTTGTTCGTCCGTCTGGGCACGTATGCGGGCCCGCCTCATTTCCTTACGTCTTAGCTGGTGTTCGCGCTCCTCGGACGGCGTTCTCAGGATTCGCCGGCGACCCATGTTGACGAAAGACAGGCAGCCAGCGAGGGTGGGGGCACCCAAGCAACTACGGCTGCTTACCAGATTTTGTGATAACGCCGATAAAGCACTCGCGAGCTTGGTTGTGTTCGCAAAGCTTGTAAGTGCAGCGAACTTTTTTCAGGACGTTTGCCGCAATTTTTTCGCGCCGGAACCAGAACGGCTGAAAAATACGAATGCTTGTATTTATCTGATGATGATGATCGTGATGCCAGTAACGCTATTTTAATTTGCGTACACCAGTAAGAACGTACATACACTTTTAAAATAATATCGCCACGGCTAATCGCTTCGGAAAAAAAAAAAAACTGAGGGCTAGTAACTTTCGTGCAAACCTAGAAAGGGTCTCTCTCTTCTCGCACGGGCTTTTCGTCACTGAGGTTATTCAGTTTAAGGCTCAAAATAAATGCTGGCATTCTTTTTCACGCCTGTGTGAGGACCGGACCATTAAAAAAAAATTGGATGACCTTGTGGCAGTCCACATGCCTACATCACTGCAGCAAGAGTTAGCAATGTGTTGTGCAGGAATATTACGAGTATGACGTGCGACAAGGACTTTCTAATGCATAGAAGATTCTACTGTCTACATGCATGCGTCTGTAGATCCTCCGCTTGTGAAAGAGGACGCCAGGAACGTTATACTACAGTGTACTAGAATAGAGGCAGTGTGCTCACAGGCGGCGGCGGGTGACCCACTTCGTGTCGACGCCGAGGGGCGGCGCGGCTCGCAGCGACACCTGAAACTCCTTTGCACGCCGAAGTAGAGAGCCACAGCGCAATTGTTGAAATGCCAGAAATTATGCAACGTTCGCGACATGCAACGCACGACACTTCTTTTGGGGCATCTTATCAGTGTGCAGGGCGTGAAGCAACTGACATTGTATTATTTTCCGGCCGTTTAAAAGTTCAAAGTGGTTTCGCTAATGCAGCGGTCATGTCGACTGCGGTTCCGAGGTGCGAAAAACACTACGCACTTTTTTTTTTCGCAATGTCAGAATTAAAATTTTGGAGTTTAACGGGCCGAAGCCACACTTTCGCTATGAGGTGCGCCATAGCGGAGGGCTGCAGGTTAATTTAGATCCCTTTAGAATTTTTAACGTCAGCCGAAATGCCGACACACGGCTTGTTTCGTTTTTCTCCTCCATCAGGAGAACAGCCACCGCAGCTAGGATTGAACACACGTCCTTGGGTTGAACAGTACAACGCCTTAGACAGCCTCCACGCCGGGGTTTTCTTGATTACGTGCCTGCTGCTGGAATGCGCGCCCTAAACCCAAACTTTAACCACCATGACAACCACGCACGACGTTAACATTCTAGCATCGCTGCTTCGAGACTTTAGGTGATGATTGGTGTGTGGCGTGATTATTGCTGTAAACAAGACGTAGCATCATTATTATCAACAGCCTGTTAGGTCCTGCAGGACGGAGACCTCTTTCATTGATTTACACCCGCTCCTGTCCTTCACTGCCAGAGTCCACTCCATGCATTGCCTCTGAATTTTCATATTTCGTGTATCCATCAAGTTAATGACGTAGCAAATTAAAAAGAAATGATAAAAATCCATGTAAATTGATGAAATAATGTTTATTTACAAATAAGTGATGAAAGAATTTGCACAAGAAATATTAGGGAAAAAAAAGGGCTGAATAATGGCAAATCGAGACATTTACACATTGATATGCACCATTACTTGGAAGGAGTCTTTAAACGATAGCAAGACGACAAGCAATGCTCGGGCTCCGCTGGAACGTCATCCTGTGTGAAGTCGCAGTCCTCCCCTGAATCACCAATAGCAGCCCGTGGAAATTCAGTACAGTCAGTCTCGAGAGCACTTCGGCTCTTTTTCTTTGCGGCTTCATGGTCATTTTCGCACATCTTCCTTTTAGCTCTCGGTTTTGGCATCTTCTTCGTGAGGTACTGCGGCAAATTTGGAAGAATCGTGGGGACGGAGTTTTCCGACAGCATCGGTTTATCACGAGGAATGCGTACCTCTTTGCCATCTATATGGTGCACGAACTCCTTGATAACGAACCTCAGTTAGAAATGCAGTTCGCAGACCGCAGAAAACTCATCCAGTTTCTTATCTGCACGGTGGAGATTTCTTTCCCACTCCTTCCGCCATCCTTCATCACGCGGGACGCTGAACAAAGACGCCTGTGGTGCATCCTGCACACGACTGTACCCGGTTCGACAACCGGGCGCAAAACAGTAATTTCGACGGCGCTTAGGCATCTTCACGAACACATACTACACAATGATCCAAGCATAAAGCACAGAACACGCACACGGGGTACCCACGTTGATCCAATCGAACCGATCGAACTGAACTGAGCGAACAAGCCCCGTCCGCCAACACGGCCAACACGAACCAAGAGAAGTTTTTCAGGTGCGTCAAGCGTCAGCGCCCCTGGTGGGCATCGTGGAAGTCGACACAGAGTGCGCTACGGCGGAGCGCCGCAAGGATAGGGCAGTGAGCACACTGTCCTCTATTCTAGTACACTGTAGTTATACCAACGCCCCTTCTAGAAGATGCCTGCCGCATGAGAAGAATAACGGCAGCCACATCCTTTCCCTTTTTTATTTTAGAATGTTTTTGGTCGCTAGCGTCACCTGTGACGGACGGTGCAACAACGCAACATTTTGCATAGCCTCCGAAACAGCGATGCACAGTTGCAGGTCTCGAACAACTCTCGACAGACGCGCCCCTATGGGCCGCAGATGAAAAACGCTTAGTTGGTACTTGGTACCGCCGGGCGCCCGCTGCCGTGATAATGGATGGATGGCTGGATGAATGGATATGGCTGTACCCTTTAGACCGGGCGGTGGCTAGCGCCACCAAGCCGTAATACCTAATCAACCAAAAACTATATTTATTTTTTTTCCTTAAAAAGTGAGTTTGAGGATTCGTACTTTGCAGTGAAGAGTTTAATTTTCACTCGTGCCTTGACTTTAGCCACCAATCAGATAACCTCCTTCTAGTAAAGTCTACCCGCTTGAAGTTTATTTTGCCCTCCCGGTCCCTGAACCCCAGTGCTTTGAAAAACTCTGCGCCATCATCCTGAACTATAGGGTGAAGCCCTTTACAGAACATTATCAAGTGTTCGGCAGTTTCTTCTTCCTCTCCACACGCACTGCATACTGTGTCTACCCCTTCGTATTTGGCCCGATATGTCTTGGTTCGCAGTACTCCCGTCCTGGCCTCAAACAGTAGAGAACTACCCCGAGTATTATCATAGATCCTTTCCTTGGCAATTTCCTGCTTAAAAGTTCGATAGATCTCTAGTGCGGACTTCTTAATCATGCCCATTCTCCACATGTCAGTCTCCGTTTCCTTCACTTTCTTCTTAACCGATAGTTCATTTTGGTTTGGCCACCTGCTGTTTTCTAAGTATTTACCAGTCAACTTCCTGGTTCGCTTCCTCCATTTTGTATCCACATTCTTCATGTACAAGTAGCTGAAAACCTTCCTAGCCCAACGCTCTTCTCCCATTTCTCTCAATCGCTTCTCAAATTTTATCTTGCTGCTAGCTTCCCTGCCCTCAAATGATGTCCATCCCATATCACCTTGTACTCCCTGATTTGGTGTATTCCCGTGAGCTCCTAAAGCAAGCCTGCCTATTCCACGTTGCTTAATTTCTAATCTTGCTTGAACTTCTGACCTGATGCACAAGACCGCATTGCCGAACGTCAGCCCAGGAACCATGACCCCTTTCCATATTCCTCTCACAACATCATACCTATTGTAATTCCACAGTGCCCTATTTTTCATGACTGCTGCATTCCTGTTATCTTTAGTCGTCACGTATATTTCGTGTTCCCTAGGGTGCTTGGTCCCATTGCTTATCCATACGCCCAGATATTTGTATTTATCTGTTATCTCTAGCGTGACCTCGTGTATCCTAAGCTCACTACTTTCGTTGTCATTGAAAATCATGACTGCTGATTTTTCCTTACTGAATCTAAAATCTAACCTATCTCCCTCATTACCGCAGATGTCCATCAATCTCTGCAAATCTTCCTTGTTGTTGGCCATTAGCACTATATCATCTGCGTACATTAATGCTGGTAGTGCCTGATCAATAAGTTTTCCTCGTTTGACTAAAGAAAGGTTGAAGCCTAGTCCACTTCCCTCTAATTTTGCCTCTAATCCTTGTAGGTATATCATGAATAATAAGGGTGATAATAGTCTCGGTCGCGAGCGCCACCGCGCGGCGCTTGCTCAAAACTGAAGGCAGGCCAACTCCGCTGGGAGCGCGAGCCATTCCCCAGGCATTGTTTAGAGGAGGCGTTGGTTATACCAGAGTCCTTCAATGCTTTTATTTTTCAAAAGTTTTGGAGGACTCTGGTTATACTAAGGGAACATAGAAAAAGGGTTCCACTACATAACTGCTGGGACCTATGGTTCTGTGTACCTGTTTTACTGACCAAGCTGTCCTTGCAATGATTTTTCTGATGTTAAAATACATATAAAGACTAGCATGTTTCCGCCACACCCCTTGTGATGTCACGTTCACTATGCATCCTTTCTCAGTTTTCACAGTACCATAGCTATCCAGTGCATCCCTTTCTACTTGTTGCTAATTTGCCAAGCTTCTGTTTCTGCCATTAATTTTAGTCATACAACTTCGCAGTCACATTTCTTTCATCTCTTGCGGCACCTGAAGCTATGTCAGATAAGGCAGGAAAGGCTCTACTCAGAGAACTGAAACATGACAGCTAATTGCCCCCGCGACTAAAGAAATAATGCTGCTCAAATACCAACTCATGTTCTCCGACAAATGGATCCCCAGTAGTTTGGCTTACGATTTCTGTCTAAAGCTAGCACGAATTGGCAACGCCGTTGAGGTATAAATAGGACTCCCTTATAAGTTTGCACACAATCACAGGCTATTGTCCTCACCACGACTGCAATGACTATGGATGTGGGTGGTCAGTTTAGTCAAAATAGTTGACCAGGCGAGTTGTTGATTCATGATTGCTTGAAATATGAGCGCGTAACAAAGACAAGGACTGTCTTAGACCTCGCCTACGTTACGGCCTCGTACTTCAAGCAGACAGTTTAGTCGCTTTAATTGGGCTCCAGCACCTTTTTTTGGCAGTACAGACATTCTAGTAGGTACTGGCATTCATGCACCACTCTCCAGCTCAACTTATCACCACTTTATTGCATGAACTTTTTGCCAACTGCATGTAAGACCTCTTGCCAGTGGTTGTTTCAAACAAAGTGCTTCATTCAATTTGAGTTTATTTATTTAACCCCGTCAGCAACCTCGAAAGTGCCCAGAGTTGCGAGGTTTTTCTTTTGCCTGGATTCATGCCGCGCACAACTTCTGTGATTAAATCCCTTGGAGAAGATGTCATACACAAAAGGTCACCAGTCAGAGTCAGTTCTCTCATATTTAAATATGAAGATCCTGGAAAAATGCAGATGGAAAGACTATTACAGCAGGAGAAACCAAATATACCATTTACGAAGCAGACAAAACAGTGCGACAGTAAATCAGTATAAACTAGGAACCAGCACACACTACAGATAAAACAAAAAATCACCAGCTTGGAATGTGCTGCCAAGCCATCACCAGCCAGGAATGT